CAAGACCCAATATGTTATTCCTTTAGTTTAAACTAGTTTGAGTTGGTTTCTGCCACTTAACAAGCGTGGTAGAACACATTGATTTATGCTGGTCTGGCAAGTTTTAAGACTAAGAGTCAATGATGCCAATCGGATGCCAATTTTGTTTGAATGTTCTGTCTTTAAAAATTAGTACTAATATATTTCTATCCATTTATCTAACGGTCATATTTCTGACAAGTATTCTTAAAAGAACAAATCTTATTAGCAGATAATCAATGCATGAATGAGAACAAATCTCATTCATGCATCACTCATAATGGCTAATTATTAGAAATAAGCCACAGGTGATTGGCAAAGTAGGCGATGGATGAATCTCGTTGATGGGAGAAAGCACCAGGACACAGACAAAACTCCAGCGGGATAGAGTTTATTAGCAAAGGAACACATAGGACAGATTCCCTTCCAGGCAGGGAAAATGTCTGCCCTGGGTCCTGAGCTGGGGTCTTTTTAAGGGGGGAGGCTTCTGGGGGGGTGCAGAAGGCAGGAAGATTTTTTTTTTAAGTTGGGCGGGAGGAAGCAGGAGAGTAGGACTGTTAAAACCTGCCCGCTTTAGAGATCAAAGGGGAAGCCTGCTGTGTTGGCCAAACAGTGGAAAAAAGTCTGCTTCTCTTGACTTCAAAGACCAGGATGCTTATTAACTCTGTTCCCTTTTCTCAGGGGCATAAGAGGTCCTAGGTCCCTGAGGCCCTGTTGGTGAGGGGGCGGGGCTATCTGAACCTTAACAACTGGATGGTTAACTACTGGGAAAAGCTACATTTTAAACCCTGGATTAAATATTTTCGAAATGTTCTCACAGACTTCTGGAGGTCCCTGAGCACATGCAAGGGGGTTCACAAGAGGAACGTCTTTTCCACAATAACATGAAGATGTCACCTGCTTTCTCACTGTACAGATATTCAAACCTTTGCTGTCAAGACCATGAGGATGAGATACTGGGACCCCACACCAATCACAGTGGTGATGCTGGGGCACATGAGCAGTTATGGAGGGTTCTCACCATGCACCCATGAAAAGGATAAGATCACTTCAGCTCATTGGTAATGCTCTGAGAGCTACATGGAAATGGGAGGCTCCACAGAGCCCTTCCCCTGTGGCTTAAGCAGGATGGTTTTCTCCAAGGAAAGCGCTGTGGCCTGTTTGAGTTGTGAACCCATTGCTGCTTTGCTCACAGAATTCTAACTTCTAAAATGACAGTTGTGCAGACTTGGGTATTGGGCAGCCTCTCTTGGAAGAGAGAAATATGAGGTCATCAGCTTCTGGGATCACAGATGACCAAGCTGTAAAGAATAAAACTCCAGCTCCCGAGCCCCAAAGAGAATTTTAGGACACTTTTATCTGTTGCTTTGAGCTTGACAGGCTGTCAGCATTTAAAGACATCCCTGAATATGTCACACAATATTGATGAATGTGATATTTAGATGTTGTAGCATGAATATTGTTACTATTCAAAAGAGCTACACATATCATCTGCAAATGATCACCCTGTGGTGGTTTGAATAAAAATGTCCCCCATAGGCTCCAAGTGTTTGGACATTTTGTCCCCAGATGATGGCGTTGTTTTGGGAGGTTTTAGAAGGTGTGGCTATCCTGGAGGAAGCACGTCACTGGGGGTGGGCTTAGAGAGTTCTTAAGCCTTGCCAAATTGCCAGTTGCTCTCGTTTCCTGTGCCTGCTGGAAGATGTAGAGCTTAGCTTCCACTCCTCTTCTCCAGCCACCTCTGCCACCATGCCTCCCTGCCAAGACGGACTGTAATTCCCCGGGAACCGTAAGCTCAAATAAATTCTTCCTTCTATAAATTGAGCTTGGGTCAGTGTTTCTATCACAGCAACAGAAAAGTGACTAATACAGTAATTGGTACCAGGAGTGGGCTGTCGGCTGTGAAGAACATGACCATGTGGGGTTTTGGAGGAATGTGGAAGACTTTGGAAGTTTGGGCTAGAAAAGTGGTTGCTTGCTGTAAGAAGAGCTTAACAGGCCATTCTAGCAAACACCTGGAAGAAAGCAGTGCTGAGAACAATGTAGTTCATGAGGGAAATAAGGACTTAAGCAGCACTTGGGATATTTTGGCAGAGTCTGGCTGGAGTCTGCCCATGGCCAAAAAGCTTGCCTGAGGCTAAGTTGAAAAGCAATGGACTAATTTCTCTGGCAGAAGAAATTTCAAGACAGCCTAATGTAGAAATGGTGGTGTGGCTGTTAATGGTGAATATTGTACAGATTTACAGTGAAAAAGAGCAAATGGGGCAGAAAGAAATACAGTTTGGATTGGAAAAGAGCACTGGAAGATAAAAGTTGGAGCCCTGGCACATGATGGAGAGGATCCCATTGATGATTAAGGAGATGAAAGTGATTAAGGAGGGGCCTAGAGATTCAGACTTAAACAGTGGACAGAGTGCCTCCAGGGCAAGAGCACACCCAGTTAAGCCTCCAACTTGTGAAAGGAAAATGCTGCAGGGGCCACGGAAGAGAAGAGCTTCTAAAATGGATAAAGCAGGCTGGAGTCCATCCCACACTTGCAGTCAGACTTGGCAGTGTCCTTCACCCGGTGCTGGCTTTAGAGGCATGAAAGATGCAAGAGTGAAGGGGTCACCAGTTCTTCCTCCGTGGTTTCAGAGAGCCTCGTGGCCAGGCAGCGTGAAGCAGGGGTTCCCCTGCATAGAGAAGGCCCTGGTAGGCCACTGCGTGAAGCTGTGATGGTGAAGCCTGGTGGGCAGTGGAGACCCCAAGAAGTTCCGGAGGCCAGAGCTGTGAGGCATCTTCCAAGACCTGCACACAGGGAGTGGTACCAGCACGAGAGAGAGATGTGTGTTGCACACAGCAAAGGTAGAGAGGCTGAGCCACCTAAGCCCTTTGGAAGTAAAGTCCCAGAAGTTGGACGTGGAGCTACTGGATTTGGTGTTTGCCCTGCTGGTTTTTGGTCTTGTTTTGGTCGGGTATTTCCTCACTGTGCCTCCATTCCTCCCTTTTGGAACAGTAACGGGTATTCAGTTCCATGGTATGTTGGGAGTATGTAATTTGTCTTTTAATTTTATAGAGGCTTACAGTTAAGATATTTACCTGTGGACTGTGGACTTTTGAATTGTATTGAGACTGATAATGTCTATGGGGACTTTTAAAGTTGGACTAAATGCATTTTGCGTTTTATATGATCATGAGCCTATGGGGGCCAGGGGGTGGAATGTTGTGGTTTGAATAAACCACCATAGGCTCCAAGTGTTTGGACATTCTGTCCCCAGATGATGGTGCTGTTTGGGGAGGTTTTAGAAGGTGTGGCTATCCTGGAGGAAGCATGTCACTGAGGGTGGGCTTAGAGAGTTCTTAAGCCTTGCCGGATCTCCAGTCACTCTCATTTTCTATACCTGCTGGAAGATGTAGAGCTTAGCTCCTCCTCCAGCCACCTCTGCAACCATACCTCCCCGCCAAGATGGACTGTAATTCCCCTGGAACCATAACTCAAATGAACTCTTCCTTCTACAAATTGCTTGGGTCAGTGTTTCTATCATAGCAACAGAAAAGTGACTAACACACATCCTGTGTAGTGTGGGAAAAACATCCAACAAAAAGCATGGTAGGCTGACAGGTTTTTAGATGGTAAAATGGAAAACGTTCATTGATGTGGTTTCTGAGTCTCCATGGCAACACATCCTTACGATACTGCCATGATTTAATTTTCTGCAAAGTCATGCACACGCTCAAGTATTTTACGGCTTGTTTAATTGCCTTATTTGTTGACAGCTTGTTTCTCCTGACTAGAAGGAGCCCTCCTCAGAGGAAGCCTCACCCTCTGAGTCACTGTCATCCCCAGTGCTCAGGGGTGGTGTCCAGCAGAGCAGAGATGCTTCCTAAGTGGTAGCTGAACTCCTGAGCACAGCCACAAGAGGAACTTGCATATATCAAATGTCACTCTGTTTATCAAGAATTTATAATTAAAAAAATAAGGTATTTAAGTGTAGGTGTCTGATATATGATACATAATATATTCTATAATAACTAATAATTATTTTGAATAAGTATGTGTGTTTATAGATGTTCCCTAGAAAAAAGTAAACATAACAGGTTTGTAGGAAAAGAAGGCTCTGGATAATCATGAGAAACCCATGTGTCTTTGTCATTAGGACCTTGAAGACCATTGCTAGCATCTGGGGAGAAGTCTGATGGCTGTGGGAGGCAGCTCAGCATGGCCAGAAGCTGCTCACACTGTCTGGAAACTGTTTTGGAACACGTCAGAACTATTTTCATGATGTACGGCATATAAATTATTTACACTGGCAAAAGACTTAAATTTGGTGTTTGACTGAGGAAGCTGGTTTGGGAATAAAATGGGTCCCTAAAACCACCTGCCACGGCAGAACTATGTGTCCTTGGGTGGACCTCAAGCTTTAATGGTCTTTGTTGGCAAGGACTTTGGGATTGTATTATAGGAGCTCCAGATTGTCCTGGCAGCTACAAGTGAGGGCAATCTATGACATAATGTAATGGCTGAAAGGCTGTTGGGCGGGGGTGGGGGGAGGCATTAGCAATGAATCCTCAGGTGGGCAACAGGGATGCTCAGTCCCACTCATTCCTATGTTCACTCAAGATGAGAACTTGGAGTCCCTGTCTACTCCACAAAATTCCTTCCAATTGGGATCCTAGGAGCTCACCTTCCGGAGTCTTTAGAGAAAGAAAGATGCATGATCTAAAATGATCTGACAGACACATTCCTTTTGTCTATAGGAAAGTTAACAGTACCTGTCTTCTGAAAACTTCAAAGCCACAAACTCGAGAGAAAATGGTCTTGAGTCCAGTCCTGCAAAGATGCAGGATTATACAGACCACATGTGTCACACCTGCCATCATCCCTCAGTCTTCACTGAGTGCCCGACACTATCCAGATTCTCAGAAGGTTCCCTTCCTAAAGGTCTCACGACAGAGCTAGGCTCAGTGAGGGGCTGTGCGGGCCAGGCAGGGGCCAGGGTTACCTTTCACCGTCACGTGGACACTCTGGCTGGTGGAGAGCTGGGGTTGGACCAGCACATTGCATGTGTACTCGCCCTCGTCCACTTCTTTCTGCACATCCGAGAGCTTTAGAGTCCCATTGTTCTCAAATGCCACCTGGCGGTGGTTGAAAGGAAGCAAGTTAGAGTTCTTGTACCATTTGATGGAGTAATATGGGTAGCCAATCACACGGCAGTGAATGTATGTGTCCCGTCCTGCTATGGCTGTGATGTTTTTCATCGGTCTAATGCTCGCAGGCCCTGGAGAGACACAAAGAGACTCTTGAGAATAATTTAAGGGTACAGCTCACAGAGGGAGATGGGTACAAGTCTTCTGGAGTGAAAACAGATTAGTTTCAGGTAAGCGCATCTTTTTGTTTCAATTTCACGGCATTTGGCATTTTCTGCTAAGATTTTGTTTCCATATGTTACTTGCAAATGAACTGGATGAATGCTAAATTCTTTAATATTAGCTACTTCTATGAAAATATTTTGTGTCACCAGATAAAAGGCATTTAAGTAATAAAGATTAACTAGCATATGTTGAACAGCCATGCTCTTTTGGAGAAAGAACTGACTGTATTTATTGACTGATGCTCTCTCTCCTCTCTCTCTCTCTCTCTCTCTCTCAGATACATAATGAAGATGGAGGTTATGCCATGGCACACTATGAATGTGAGTTAGGTACCATGTACATGAAGCTTACCATGAATGTTGTGAGACAGGAGGAAAGAAGAAAGAAATAGGCATGCAGAGCATAAACCAGGAGAGGAAAGATTGAGTAGACAAGTCTAAGAGGAGAGAAGGACAGCAGGCTGTCTACAGAAACCCAAATGCCATCTTCAACACTGGCCGATCGGCTCCATTCCTGAGTAGGAAGGAGAGGGTGGGGCGGGAAGCAACAGTTACTCCGTCGGGCATTCCAAGGCTCAGCCCGGGGCATGCAGCACCTCTTCACTACAATGAGTTATGTGTTTGTTTGTTCGAGGAGCTGATTTGACAAGCACCTCTTACGTTTATTCGAGCCTGGTACAGGACGACTCCCGCTGAGTTGTTGGCAGTGCAGCGGTAGACACCCCCATCCCGGACCTGAGAGCTAGAGATGTTCAGGTAGCTGACCACATTCCCCTCCGACGTGATCATCTGGCTGATGCGGTGGCCGCTGCCCTTGAGGATGGGGTCGTCGTCCAGGGTCCAGGTGACGGTGGGCAAGGGCGTCCCCTTCACGTTGCACACGAGGGACACTGGCTCTGCGGGACTCACCACTTTCTCACTAAAGGCAGAAATGATTTTGGGAGTTCCGTCTGTGGGGAAACACAGAAAACAAAGTGGCACACAAATCGCTAAAGAACTGGCAAGTTCTTTGTTTACTGCTAGGGAAGTGGTTGGTCAACACTGTCTGGTGCCCAACAGCTCAGGGCAGCTCTGTTTCCAGAAGAGGTGGCACAGTGCTGGCGTAAGTGACACCTCTACTCCAGAGGAAGGGTAATGCCATCCAGACTTCACAGTAAACACAGCTTCCAAGACCTCCACCTCAGAATACACATGTCACTACGTAAGTTAACAAGCAAGAATTCCATGCATACCCCCCCAAAACTAGCTAGGTATTTCAAATTTCCTCAATGTTTTTAGAGATTTTTTTTTTCACCAGAGTATTATTAAGGATAAAAAAGAAAATTAGAGACAAACGATCTCAACTTCATCATGGTCATGGAAGGAATAAATTTCTATAGATTTCATTATAAGTGGCAGTTGCATGTAAATGTCCACGCGTCTCTGGAAATGAGCAGCTAGGAGATATAACTATGATCATCTGCTGAGGTTTCTGAGTCAGGCAACCATGCAGATGACTGGGGGAGAACAGCCCCCTCTAATTCTCAATGACAGACCCTGTGTGTTACACTCTCAACATACCAAACAGGATGTTCCTGCTGCTGCAATAGTGGAGCATCTAGTGTATGTACAACCAGCAAATTTTCGATCGGATATAATGCCCACTCCTACGGGTGGAACACACATCTGGTACTGTAGACCAGACCAAACCCCTGTGGCAGGGGAGGATATGGGCCCCAGTGGGGAGCCACTGCAATTGTTCTGTTAGATGGATGTGATGCACCTGCTAAAGTACCATCCGAGCATTTGTGTTTACACCATAGGTTGTTATTTATAGCAGCCACTGTTTAGATGTTCTTGCTTCTTGCTGTTTGTATTTTTATAGTAGAAGGAATCCCACTGAAACTGGCCAACAGCCCATGGAAAACAGATGATGCAGAGGCCAGAAAGTTGAGTGCCTTGCCACATAGGAGGAAGATCATCCCACACCTACCACCCCCTCCAAGGCTTGGGGACTTTTGTGGAAGACATTGTTGGAAAGAATGTAGGAGCTGGAGGAAGGGGTGGAGAGTTAACTGGAAGTGTCCTCCGACCACTATGCTGGCAAACTATAGTCACACCTCCTTCCCACGCTCATCAAGGAGTGGATGGGGGAGCAGTTACCCCTCCCACCCAATCAATCAACCTTAGCTGCATGTGGGGGGAGGAGCAAAGGATACACATATTGCAAGAATACCAAGAGACACCTCTCTCACCATTTTGTGGGGCTGTCAGGAGGCCACAGGATCTGTTTGAGTGCAGACTTTACGGCACAGCCATAAATGTGGACACTCACTCTTCTGTAAATAAACCCCCACCCTATGCTCTGTTAAAAAAATAAAATATTTTTTTAAAAAAGCTATTTCATGATCAATTCAAGGGTCCATCACATAATAAAAGTGATAAATTTTTAGCTTTTAAATTTTTATGATAAAAATAATATACATTCATTGCTGAAACACTGGAAAACCATAAACAAAGTGAAAGAGAAAAATTAAAATTGAAGAGTGATTGCAATTCCATCAGAGATAGGTAACAATTAATAGTTCTAAAAACTCCAGGTACAACTGTCTCTCATTAGCCCAAAACCTAGAGGCCACTTCTCCAGCTAGCTAGGACAGCACATGAATCGGGGTCCTGTGTGGGTGCAGGGTGCAGGCTGTGCAGCGTGGGCTGTACTGGTGGTCTCTGCTCTAGCTCTTTTCTGTGTCTGCATCTTCATTTCAGCTCACATTTCCCATGATGGAGGAGGCCCTCAGACAAGTTCGTTTTGCAGGTAACACATTGCAGAACACTTGGGTTGTAGAGCTTTTTCTATTACTACCAGCAATGAGCAATGAACTTTGCATTGTTCAAATGCTATTTTCCCTGGTCTAATAATTACCACCCACAGTATTAGCATGTCGTGTACCTTTGATTTTCTTAAATCTAAAACCTTCTTGAATGGTTCTTGTCTTTACTTGGATAATTTTGCAGGCTATATATATATAATTTTATGTATATGAATGTTTTGCCTGCATGTGTGTAAGTACACCATGTTGTACAATGCCTGTGGAGGGCAGAAAAGGGTGTCAGATCCCCTGGAACTGGAGTTACAGACAGCTGTTAGCTGCCATGTGGGTGTTGGGAACTGAACCCAGGTCCTCTGCAAGAGCAGTCAGTGCTCTTAACCCCTGAGCTGTCTCTCCGGTCCAGGATATTTTTGTTGTTGTCAGTTGCAAATGTAGAGTTTGTCTCGTATTCCCTCATATTTAGGTGTTTCTTTTCCATTTCTGTGATGGAAACCATTTTGCTTGTTCGACTGGTTGATTGTTTGTGCTGGGGATTAAACCTAGGGTCTTCCACAAGGCAAAACAATGTACTTTTTCCTGCCTTATTATTTGTATATCTCTTTTGAGAAGTGCCACTCAAATATTTTACTCATTTTTATTTTAGACTGACTTTTGGTGATGGATACGGAGATGTTTCTTTTTTAATTTTATGTGTAGGAAAATATTGCCTGCATGTATGTAAATGCACCCATGTCAAGCAATGCCTGTGGAGGTCAGAAGAGGGCGTCAGATCCCCTGGAACTGGAGTTATAGACAGTTGTTAACTGCCATGTGGGTGCTGGATTCGAACCCCGGTCCTCTGCAAGAGAAGCCAGTGCTCTTAACCACTGAATCATTTCTCCAGTCCCCTTTGAGAAGTTATTTATAATACAAATGGAATGTAAGTAAATATGTTTCAGATAACATAGTGATCAAGTTGTCAGATGTTCTCTACTCACTACACCTCTTAGACACATAAGGGACATACAGAATACATGTGCATGTTGAATGCAGTTTCCTCTAGGCTGTGATTCCCTTTACGTTTTTCTTTTTAAGAAATATTTTATCATTTTTGTTTTATGTGTATGAGTGTTCTACCTGCATGTAGGTACGTGTACCCATGTCTTACAACGCTGGTGGAGAACAGAAGAGGGTGTTGGATTCCCTGGAACTGGAATTACAGATGGTTATTAGCCACCATGTGGGTGCTGGGATTTGAACCCAGGTCTTCTGCAAGAACAGCCAGTGCTCTTAACCACTGGGCATCTCTCTAACCTCCCCAACCCTTTACATTTTTCAATGATGTCTTTGTCTTTAGCATTTGTTCTTTTCTTTGTGTCCCATCTCCAAATCATGACTATTCTCTATTCTTTTAGAAAATTTACAATTTAATATTTTTCATTGCAGCCTAGAATTTATATCCAATTAATTTTTATGTAAGTTGTGAGTATGGCTAGAGGCTTACATTTGTGTACACTTATTCAGTGGACTGTTGCAGTTGGATGAAAATATTTCCTTTACCTAGTGAATATCCTGTGTCCTTTTAAAATCAGTAGATCACTTATGTGTGGGGGTGTCTCCAGCTCACACCTGCTGAGCTCCATGGAGCTGCACGTAGCTTTATTTCAGGGTTTCAAAGTAGCCAGAGTATTCTTGCTGGGTTCTTTTTCAAGATGTCGGGAGTGGTTCTCTGTCCTTTAATCTCTTGTACTTACATTGTAAATAGCTGACTACAAAATTTCCATTTTCATGTAACTCTTAACCCCTTGTCTCTCTCTCTGGAGGGAAACGTCTCACTATGAGCCAGGCTGGCCCCAAATTCATGATCCTGCTGTCTTAGCCCCCGGTTGCTGGTCTTTCTTTACATTTTTTTTTTTTTTTGAGACAAGGTCTCTCTGTAGCCACAGCTGGCCTGGAACTCCCTATAGAGACCAGGCTGGCCTCCACCTCACAGAGCTCCACCTCCTTCTGCCTCCCAAGTGCTGGGATAAAGGTGTGCACCACCGTGCCTGGCCGTTCTTATTTGTCCGTTCCTTATAAGCACATTTTCCTTTCAGTCGCTGAACATATTTTAATTAGCAGGGCAGCCATTGTCTGCTGACCCTTCACTTGGTCCGTCTTTGCGCCTTCCTGCTGTCTACCCTGGTATTTTCGTTCACTGGTTTTGCTTCTTATGTGTCTAGTCATCGTTGTAAACTCAGGTTCATTCCACATTGCTTCTCTGTGGCCCCCAAATTTTCCAAGTTGGTTTACATGAGGATTTGGAGTCTTTCCCATCTGTTCCACCCCTCAATGCATAAGATCCCTCAAGCTCTGTAGGACTTTTTCTCTCAATTTCTCTCCTACACCACCCGTGGGTATGGAAATGTCATCTACTAAATCCATGCAGGGGTCACATTGTCCGTCTCCCTTCTGTGGGCTGGGAGAGTGTCTTCGGGGAAAAGTCACGTCTACACAGATATCCCACTGTCTCCTCCCTTCTTCCAGGGCTTAGTCAGCCATCCTGTTTGGTTTGGGGGTTTCTTAATTATCTATATATGGCTTTGTTCTTCCTAAAGTTCATACATTCCATGTGTTTGAAAGCTGTGTGTTACAGGTGCGATTTCAGCACTCCTAGAACTTGAACTTCTCCATTATCCCATTTTCCAGTTCTTCTGGTTTTAACGGGAACCTTCCATTAGGAGGGTTCAAGAAATTCAGCCTCCTAGGAAAGGCTCCCAGACTCCATTCCATCTATAATCAAGGACAGTCCACTATGTGGCAAGATTTTATAATTCTGTCTTAATTCAGGTCTTATAGCAGGGTCCTGGGAGGCAGCCTGGAGCATATCAATCAGACACAATGTGCTGCAGGTCTGAGATGCATAATCATAATTCCATCTCTTCTGTCCATTGCAACATTAACACTGTCATCTAGCAGAAGATTGAAAAAAAATGAAGCTTCTCATCTCGAACAGAAACTGACACGAGACAAATAAATTGGGGAGTATGTTTGGCACAGCCCTGCCCCTCTTTCTGCTCAAGTGACGGGCTTTGCAGAGATGAAAGCAGATGTTATTTTCCCAGTGAGACCTGAGTGTCTTTGAAATCTGCCTAGCTGCCTCTCTACTAACCTGAACCCTTTCAGTATCATTATGGACGATCAATATGCTTTTTAGGTTTTCTTAGTCACTTGAGATGGTTGCCAAGGTAACGAGACCAAGGCAGGTAATCTCTTCTTTTTGCTGCAGAGAATCTAAAAATAGTGAGGCTGGGAGGCCAGGGTGCATCCTGGGTAGTGAACCAGTCCTGTGCAAATTGATTACTTTCTGCACTTAATTATTATGTGCCATGAAGTGTCAGCACTTAACATGAGGACTGTGCCTTCAGCACTTAACATGAGGACTGTGCCTTCCAGTCATTTCGCCTCTGCATGCAAACTCTCACTGTCAGTAAAGATGCTCGAATCACAACGGGAATCACATTGCTAAGCTTGGTGCATCTTAAGAAGTAGGAAAGGTTAAAAGACCAATAATAAAATTATTCTGTTAGCATCCAGACACACTTAAACTTTCATGCAATAATAGATTTTATTTATTATCTCTTTGGGCTATAGAAAAATCATTTCATCATTTTAATCAGTTGATAATAGATGGATTTTAAATGAGAGCTAATGATACGATTCCTGTCAAGAACTACAAATACAGATAGGAACTACTTCAATTATCTGGTGATAAATATATGCCTTAGTTAAATGTCACCTGTCACTGTTCCTCCCCAGGACTGATGGATGAGATTGAAGAATTAAGGACTCCGTAACCAATAAAGAAGAGGTGACAGAGCCTGTGTTAGTCTACCACAAAGCAGTCTCTCAAACATTCCAGCCACCTAAGTCCAGGGATGTTCTGACCTGGCCAGAGAAAACACCACCAACCTGAGATAGTGTTTCACCCCACCAAACACTGTACTAAAGCCCTGGCTGATGCTGTCTCTACAGGACTTCTTAGTGGTGGGCTACTTCCATCGTGCCTTACAGCTCAGGAATATTTGACATTCTTAGAGCACACTGTATGTAGTGGTCACAATTTCGGGGAGGGGCTGCTGGCATCAAGCCAGTTGAGGCCAGGGATACTGCTAAACCTCCCACAATGTACAGTAATCCCCAAACAAATATTCTGTGATGTATCTGATAGTCCTCAAACAAAGTATTATAGAGTACTGCAGTTCTAGAAAATACTGAATTATGAATAGAACCCAAGTCTCCAATTCTGAGGTTGATCATTTGGCAACCTTACACAGGAGTGGGAAGCATTCCTACCCCTCCAGGTCAGTCCTCATCAGAGCCTGATCTAGTGAGGTTGGAGTCACCGGACTCAGAGACACAGAGAATCCCACCAGTGGCCCTGCATGGCCCACATCCCACCCACATGCTTGGTTGGATTCTGTTTGAGACACACCGTCCAACTGACCTTCGAGGACCACCTGCACATAGTCCTGAGCAGACAGCTTGTCCTTGCGCACAAAGCACTGGTATGCACCCCCATCGCTCTTGACCATGTGATCCATTATAAGGTTTTCATGGTTGAGCCCTGTGATCCTCACATTTTTCCCAGGGTTGAGGATTTCGCCGTTTCGGTACCAGGAGAGTTCCTGGTCCTCATTTCCTGTCACACTGCAGGACAAGGAGACCTGACTTCCCACGCTGCTTTTAACCTTCCTGGGACTGATGGTGGCTTTCAGTGGTTCTGGGGAGTCAGATAAGAGAGAGAAAGAGTGAAATATCACTACACGCTGATACTGTTTCAACCACATGCTGGCCTTTTGCTGAGGCAAAGGTTGGGAGCAGCTCGCTGGATTCTTACTGCGATTATATGGGTATCACTTTGCCTGAGAACACCCTCTTTACTGATGTCTTTCTCTGGGCTTTTTTTTCTCCATGTAATCAAACAGAATGTTGGTCACATTTCTTCAAAGTATATGTGATGGTTTTGACCTACTGATGCTAAAAAATGCAACGAGCTAGTTACCATTAGGGGCACAAGTCCCTGAAAATGTAAACCTTGTCCCAAGGCAACAGCAATGGCTCGCCCTGGCCCTGGCCCTTTCTTACACTGGGGCCAATAACACTCAGGGGCAAAGAGGAGGATGGGGTTCAGCTGTGCAATCAAGAAATAGCGTTTCACTTTAAAACAAGGCTGACTGGAACCAGGATCGAACTCCTAACTTTGCTTTCCCATTTCCAATTCAACAATCCTAATGGAAGACGAATGTGAGTGTCTCACCAGGTGCTGAGGGTTAAACTCACAGTGGCACTACTAGAATGTGCCCTCCCAAACAGACTAGGTGGTCTCCACACGTTACCTAAGGAGAGGCTTCCTGTAGCTCTGTGAATTTTGTTGTCCTCTCAGCTTCCAGAAGAAGAAACAGTTACTCAGGAGATAAAGTATTTTAACTAAGTTCACTCAACAGCGAAGCAGAGCAAACAAGTGATTTACCCAGAAGGACCTGCTGTTTTAGCTCATCACACTGCAAGGTCTTGGGATCCAAAGAGCTCAGATCTTGTAGATTGACCAGACAAATGGAATAATGAGCATTACAACCAAGCAGAGTGATGCAAGTGCCAGTGGCAACATATCAACCGCTCAGGAGAGTCTATAGGAAGGCCAGGAAAACCCTTAGGTGTCTAGAGTGGACAGACCAGTGGCCAGCTCATGGGAAGAGGGTGCTGTGGAGACTGAGACCCACAGAGATGAAAGCACAGGTGCGTCTAAAGTAGATTCAGTTTGGATGTAACATAAAGTCTTCCAAGGAAACTGCAAAAGCAATCCTAGCCACTACAAAGGGTCTCACGATTTCATAACAAAATTAAAACAAAACAACAACAACAAAAACTAACCAAAGCATTCAAGAGTCAGGCATGGTGGTGGTACATGCCTATAATCTAACTTGTTCCGAACACTAAGGCAGGAGTGTTGCATGTTCAAGACAGGCCTAAGCACCTTGTTGAAGCCATCTCAAAATAAGATTTAACAAACAGGGCTGGGGGTACAGCTCTGTGGAAATGTCTTTTCTAGTATACACGGGCTCTGGGTTCAAACCCCGGCACTGCAACAAGCAATTTCTAAGGAACGTTAAGTGAGTGCCACAATCGATGATCTCTCAGAGAACTGATTGAGGGTATCGTGTTGGATACACCGGACTGGAGGAAAGTGATCCACAGAGGCTTTGTGAAGGTGGATGGAGTTAAGAACCAGCCTTGTGCAGGGAAGAACTTTGAGAAAGAGTTCCTAGGACTTGGATGACTTAGACCCTGAGGAGGGCTAAAGGAGGACTCGGGACTTCAACCTTGCCTTTGGGGGACAAGAAAAAGGATCAGGACTGTTTGGAAGGCAGAGCTAGGGGAGACTCTAGCTTGGATTTCTTTCTTGTTCTTTTAAAGTACCAGCTGAGCACTTGCCATGAAGCTCGGATCCATAGTTTGCGGTCACCCAGGAAGAAGAGGCCAGGAGTGTAGACATGGGGCTCACTCTCACAGGCGAGGAATTTGAAGCTGCTCAAATAAAAGTCAGTATCAGGAAAAAGAGACGAGCTGGAAGAGGACTCTGAATTTGGAAGCCAAAGGAACACTTTCCATTGGGGGCAGAGGGACGGGAGAGAGGATGTGATCTGCAACCAGAGTGAGCCTCCAAGAGGGAGGAGGGGAGCTGCGAGAGGCTCTCAGGGTCTTCTCTGGATGAGGTGGGAGACTGCTGTTATGAAGCAAGCACAGATGGAGTGTAGGCCTTCCCACAGATGTTTTATAGTGTAAGTGGTGATAGAATGTGTGTGTGTGTGTGTGTGTGTGTGTGTGTGTGTGTGTGTGTAGGGGGAGAGAGAGAGAGAGAGAGAAGAGAGAGAGAGAGAAGAGGGAGAAAAGGAGGGGAGGGAGAATAAGAAAGGGTCGCAATTTTTAAAAAGCACAAAGGGAAACTATTGGGGAACCTTCAAGAAGAGAGAGAGAGAACACTGAAGTCAGAGCTGAAGACAAGGGGGAGGTCCCCAGGATGATGATGCACGGCAGAGTAGAGAAGATGGGTTTAGACAAGGACCATCATAAGCGAGGTCAATTGCTCTCAGAACACAGTGGGGCTCTCCTAAGGACCTAAACGAAGTTTGAGTCATGAGGATTTTTTTAAAATATTTTATTTTTATGTGTATGAGTGTATTGCCTGCATGTATGTGAGTGTACCCATGTCATGCAATGCCACAGAGGTCAGAAGAGGGCTTCGGATTCTCCTGGAACTGGAGTTAAGGACGGTTCGTAGCCGCCATGTGGGTGCTGGAAATTGAACCCAGGTCCTCTGCAAGAGCAGCTGGTGCTCAAAGTGAGCCATCTCTCTAGCCCCTCATCAGGATATTTCTTAAGCAAAACAATGGGAAACATGGCTAGTGTAGTTTTATTGAGAAGCCTTTGACACCATCTCAAGACATCAATTACCTTCAGTACTAAACAAGGAGTTCAGAAAGGAACATGTGGAGCCAGTGGGCACAGTTTGCTAGCCGTCTAGTACTGCACTGACTCATGGATGAAACAGAGTACCTTAATTTTTTTATTTATTTTTATTTTATGTATATGTGTGTTATGCCTGCGTGTGTGTAAGTGCACCCGTGTCATGCAATGCCCTCAGAGGACAGAAGAGGGCTTCGGCTCCCCTGGAATTGACTTTAGGGATGGTTGTTAGTCACTATGTGGGTGCTGGGATTCAAACTTGAGTCTTCTTCAAGAACAGCCCTGAAACATAGTACTTTAACAATGAAAAAAACAACTGTGGTGGCATGCTCTTCCAGTCCCAGCTGGCCTTGGCCAGAACATGGGAGCTGTCACTGCATTGATGCCTCCAGGCAGCTGTTTGGGTCCCAAATGAAAGCCATTCTCTTAGTATGATGCCATGCAGGCTTCCTGTGGTTCAACTCTAAAGCAGTCATCCCATAAACAGACGCTGGACTGGAGAAACAGGATTAGACACTACAGGTATCTTCAGGGTGGGAATCGTGGGGTTCAGCCTGCTTAGCTCAACTTATCCAGTTTTTATACATAAACAATAGTAGGGTTATTTCTCAAGGCCATAACTAGAATTGGCAGAGGATGAACTACAGTGAAGATGAAGATCTACTGGGTCCAGAGCAGGAAGACAGCTCGGTGGGAAAGGGTACTTGCTGCCAAGACTGACCACCTGAGTTCTGGAACCCACATGGTGGAAAAGAACCAACTCTTGCAATTTGTCCTCTGCTTCACATGCATGTTGTGGCATGTATCTCCCCCCCCCCAATTAAATACATGAATGGGTGAAAAGGGAAAGTGAGTCCAGTCCAACGTCGAAATCATTTGGAGTCTGATATTCCCGCTGACGGTTCCCTTCTTGAAACATTTACAGTAACACCTGCAAACAGGTTAAGAGTGGCCACTTGACTGGCTTCCTTCTCTGAGCTGTGAGTCCAGCCCCACCCCATTCCTGAACTGCTTTCAGTTTGGTCATTCTGAACCACAGCTGGATGACTACTGTTTTGGAAAGGTAGTGGTTCTGTGGCCTCATGCAATCCCCAAGGTGTGGCCATCAGACAGCTCCGCGTCCAGACCCACACAACCTGGGAAGTTCTGAGTGTTTTTGTTCCCACTTGCCAAGCAGGGCCCCGTGGACGACTGTGGAGAAAGTTGAAGATTAGCTTACACAGGTTAATGTCCATGCAGCCAACAGCAGGTGGCTTCACTAGTTACCATCCAACTTACGTTTCACGTACAGGCGGCCTATCACCTTGGCAGTTCCGTATCGGTTGGACACTTCGCACACATAGCTGCCTGAGTCTGAGGGGCGGCTGTTCTCAATGAGCAGCCCCGTTACTGTCCTTTGGAACCTCCCAGAAAGTTCCAGGGGCATGTTGTCTTTCAGCCAGCGGTAGTCTGGCTCGGGGTGCCCAAGCGCTTTGCAAGGCAGCTCCACTCGCTGCCCGGCCATGGCTTTGCGATGGTCAAACCCATCCAGTATGGACGGGGCTGAGTTCGCTGGGTCTGCAGAAGGAAAAGCAAACTGTCAGAAATTGTGGGTGAGGACTGTGCGTGGCCCCTGGGAACCACATGTGGACTTCAAGCATAACTTAAATCCTGGACCTCCTCCAACTACTGCAACAGATGATCTTTAAAACAGAAAACAAATCCAAACAAAATCTTTCCATTCCAAATTTGTAAAAGGTGGAACCCTGGTCAGAGCCTCTGTTTGGTGATTCTCTGGTAAGTAAAGGAACTACCTGGAGTCCGCATGCCTTGACGGGGACCATTAGCTCACCCAGGAAGTGGATTGTCTCCTGATGGGACCTCCACACAAGCAGCTCCTCTCAGAAGTCTAACAGTAGCAGAGACTTTTGTTTACCTTTAGTAAAATTCAGTTATCAAGAAAAAGGGCTTTAGCATCGTCTTTTAATTATTCATCTCAAAATGTTTCCTATATTGGGGAGGGAGAGATGGCTCAGCAGTTAAGAACACCGACTGCTCTTGCAGAGGCCTGAGGTTTGGTTCCCAGCACCCACCTGACAGCTCCCAACCATCTGTAACTCCAGTGCCTAGGGGATCTGATGCCCTCTTCTGGCTTCTTCAGGGCATTGCACACATGACACACTTCACATACACACACAGTGCACTTACATACACACAGGCAAAACACATACACATAAAAGTAGATAAATATTTAAAATTTTTAAGTGTTTTATTCATTTCAAAAATGCTTTTATGCTGTTCTTTTTGTTAACATTTGTTAATTATACATATTTTCATGATTGAGTAAAATATTTCAATACATGCAAGCAATAGGTATTGATCAGCCGCAGATCTTTTATCTACCTCTTTTCCATCATCTGGGAATCATGCTTCTACTCTCAGATTGATTTTACTTTTTAAGGTCTACATATGAAAGAGAGCATGTGATGTTGACTTCCTCTGTCTGGCTTGCTTACTTAGCACAATAACTCCCTGCTGTTCCAATGCTGAAGAATTTAGTAAGATTTCATTTCTCTTTGTGGCTCAAGAACACGCCACTGCATGTATAGGCCCCATTTTCTTTATGTTTTCATCTATTGGTGGGCATTCAGGCTTATTCCACACCTGAGCTATTGTGGATAGTACTGGAACAAACATGGCTGTGCAGGATCCTTGTGGCCTGCTAGTGTCATCTTCTTCGGGTCTGGCAGTGGGAGAGTTGGACCATATGGCAGATCTGATTTTAGTCCTGTGAAGACCTTCAATGTTACTTCTTAATAATGGTTATCCCAGTTCACATTTCACCACAGTAGAGTTCTTTTTTCTCTCTATCCTTTGCAGCTTAGTGAAGATAATTGTTGACTACTCATCTGATGGCGTATTAATGTCCAGGACAATAAGGAACCCAAGCAAATAATGGAACCAACAGTGCAATTAAAACCACTGAAAATTCAATTACTATGTACCACACTCTCATTATCCATTCATCAGCTGATGAACACCTAGGTTGTTTCCTCCCTGTTGTGACTAGGGCAGCAGAGAACACGGATGAACAGATGTCTTTGTAGAAGGATCCAGCATCCTTTGGGCATGTGTCCAAAAGTGGTACGGCTGTGTCACGTGGTACATCGATTTTTAGCTTTTTGAGGGACCTTCCCACTGATTTCCATAATGGCTGCATCAGTTTGTGCCCCCCCAGCAGTGACTAAGTGTCCCCTTTTCCACATCTGCACCAGCACTGTTAGCTTTGCCTTTTTGGATCTTAGCCATCTGACTGTGGTAAGATGAAATTTCAAAGAAGTTTTTAAAAAATGTTTTATTTTTATTTTATTTATTATTTTATTTTTATGTGTACTGCCTGCATGTATGTAAGTGCACCTGTGTTTTGTAATGCCCACAGAGGTCAGAAGAGGATGTTGGAGCCCCTGAACTGGAGTTACAGACAGCCTCTATGTGGGTGATTGGAACTGAGCCCAGGTCCTCTGGAAGAGCAGCCAGTGCTCTTAACCGCTGTGTCACCTCTCCAGTCCCGTAAATTATTTTAATGTGCATTTTCCGGATGGCTAAAGATGTTGAACATTTTATAAACTATTTCCTGGCCATTTGTGTTTTATCTTTTTTTACCTTGAAGCTACATCTCTGTTGTCTAGCTGTCACAGTACTAGAAGGTGCTACTGACAAAGAAAGGCATCATCAACCTTACCCAGCTGTGAAATCTTCAAGCTACAATGACAAATGGCTTAGCAAAATATGCCCACGGGTGCAGTAACGGCATGAATGTTGTAGGGGTAACCAGCCTCTTATAATTGGATTGAATACCCACTTCACAAAACGGAGTCCATACCGGATACTGCTGTCAGGGTCAAAACCTGTGGCTAGATAGGTCACAGGTTATCCCTAATATTCTGCTAAATAGACATAGTATTAAGCCTGTGGCTAGATAGGTCACAGGCTTATCATGAACCTTCTGCTAAATATACATAGCATTAAACTGACTCATGATTGAATTATTGTTACACCCACAGATTAGTGCATCACTCCGCTCTCACCAGAGAAGGTTTTTGCATCAGACAGCAGTTAACAGAGAGCCACGACTGGTCAACATATAGAAAATAAGAGACTGCAGAGTGCTGAACCCTAAACGGGACACCTGCATTGCACCCTCTCCTTCCATGGCTCGGGGATCATTGTGGGAGAGAAGGCGGAAAGACTGTAAGACTCAGAGGCGGTGGGTGACCACAAGGAAACCATGATGTCTGGCCACCACAGAGAAGTCACACATACGAATGCACAACATTTGTGACAGCATGCACAAGACCTGTGCAGACCCACGGCAAACAGGGAAGCCCGAGCCCTAGCTGAGGATCTATTGGTGATTGATAGGTGCCTGATAGGTTAGCCAGACCCCAAGAGTTAGACCCATACCAAAAACCACTTTGGAAACACAGATTAGATTCAATACGGCTTCAAATAAAAGATAAATAATAACCAAGGACATAAAGTTGGGGGGGTGGAAGGAGGGTATCTGAAGATGCTCAAAATACGTTATATGAAACCATCAAACACAAATATTTTTAAATAAAATAAAAATTTAAAAACTAATTAATAATCCATTCAAAGTCATAAATAGACATTTATAAAATGAAGACATACAATTAACCACCAGATATATAAAAATGCTCACTATCTTCTACCAAATGGGAAATGCAAATCCAAACCACAATGATGTTCCACCTCACTTAGAATGGTTAGTATTAAGAAAATAATAAAGTAGTTGGATGGGACAGTAGAAGGCTGTCCTCACATGTTGTGAATTCCTTCCCCCCTGGATGAGGAAGGAGGCGAGGCTCCCATGACTTAAGATGCTAAGAGGAGTATAGAAGGCTCAGAAATCCCATGAGTAACAAGACTCACAAGACTCAGGAAGCTCAGAACTATAGAGTCTGTTTTGTGTCCCCAAATGTCCTACAGTGAGGGACCATCCACTGGAGCCTGGTTAGTCTACCAAGAGCCCCATCCCAGTGAGAGACCATCTCTCTCCCTCCTGGCAGCCATCAGTTGTCAAAAGTTCCTTCATACCCACCTCCCCATATCTATGCTGGGATTTTGTCTGGTTTGAGCTTGCATGGGCCTTGTGCGTGCTGTCGCCATGGCTATGAGTTCATATGAACTCTGTTTCCTCATGGTCACCCGCCTCCTCGGACTCTTACAATCTTTCCATCCCCCTTTTACACTAAACCTTGGGCAGCAGAAGTTTGATATCAATGTCCGATTCAGGGATCCGCGTTCTTGTTCTCTGCACATCAGCCAGTTGTGGGTTTCTGTGTTAATCACCATCTACTGTATAAGGAAATATCTCCGGTGAGAGCTGAGAGGTGCATTCATCCTAGGTGCAGAAGTTGCATTGAAGATGTGTCACTTAGGTCTAAGTGTCTCAGAGACACTTATTTTCTGCATTTGACCAGTCTTCAGTACTTTCACCAACCTTAGGCAGGCAGAGGAAAGGAGCTAGCCTAAAGAATGGGACCCTGGGCAACCAGAATGAGAAAAGAGAAGGGGTTTGGGAAAGGGGAGGGCCCCAGGAGCCTGTAAAAGGCGAAACTCAGGACTGATGGAGGCATTCCCAGGCCTGGGGGCCCCTCCCATTCTGACTGTCCAGTCAAGTTTGTCATCTCTTCATGCATATGATGCCCTTGCATCTGACCTCCGCCCACTTTTCCTGCCCAGTCCAGGAACCTCTTCCTCTTGCTCCTTACTGCCCCCTCCCCTGACACTTTCTCTCCCTGTTCAGCTCTCGGCTGTCCTGGTGGCATCCTTGGCCCTGGTGCCTGAACAGAGACACCTCTGCTTTACCTCTCTCTCTCTCTCTCTCTCTCTCTCTCTCTCTCTCTCTCTCTTAGCCTTTGTCTCTGACTAGCGGCCCCTGCATCACCGGTCTATTCTCACTGACCTGTCAGGCCACACTTGTGGCCCCCCACCTTGCGTTCCTGCCCTCCCTTCCTTTTCCTGTGCTGGGGTCTTCTGCCTTTCCCAGATGTCCAATTCTTTGTCCCATGGAACTCCATTACCACTTCTCACACCAAAACCCTGAAACATGTGGGCTTAAAGCAGTGTTACATCTCCCTGCGGAGATTTTAGCTGGGAGGGAGAGGAAGAAATAACCAGCACAGAATGGCAAGAATTAAATGGCTTACGGAGACCTGAGTCGGTCACTTCTCCACGGCCCTTGTCAGGAGCAGAAGCAGGAGACGATTTGTCCACTCTACCACATAGGGCTTGGCCAGCATTACATTCTTGAGCCAGTGAGGAAATGGATAAAATCTTAGTGTTGAGTCAATCCATGCCCTAAATTTTCTTTGTTTTTAGAACTTTCCTTAAACCATGTGTGATGGTTTGAATGAATGTCCCCCAGAGGCTCCAAGAATTTGGACACTCAGTCTCAGGTTTGTGGCACTACTTGGGAGAACCATGGAACCTTCAGGAGGTGCAGCCATGCTGGGGAAGCACGGCAGTGGGGAGGCACGGCAGTGGGGAGGCAC